TAGTAATTTTCACAAAGGTGTTGCGGATAAATTGCAGGAAAACAATGAATTTAAAACAAGCATAAAAGGAGATCCTGGTAAAGAAGGTGCACGAGGTGAAAGAGGTCCAGAAGGTCCAATAGGTCCGAAAGGTCCACGGGGTGAAAAAGGTGATACAGGTGAAAAAGGTGATACAGGTGAAAATGGTAAACCAGGTTTACAGGGTTTTGAGGGTCCACAAGGATTTCTAGGGGTTCCTGGTAGGGATGCAGATCCTACAGAGGTTGCTAGTGCGTTGATCAAAAATGATAAATTAAAAGATGCTATTGTTAGCGGCGTTGCAAGCAATCAAACTTTGCGGGATAGCGTTGCCAGTAATACAATTCTACAAGATAGCGTTGCCGGTACATTGAAAGTAGATAGTAATTTTCAAGGTGATATTGCGGATAAATTGAGGGTAGATGGTAATTTTCAAAGCGATATTGTGAGTAAATTACAAGACGATGCTAAATTTAAAGAAAGCTCAAAAGGAGAACCTGGTAAAGATGGTGCACCAGGTCCTCAGGGTGCAACAGGTCTACAAGGTGAAACAGGTCCAGCAGGTCCTCAGGGTGAAACAGGTCCACAAGGTGAAACAGGTCCACAAGGTGAAACAGGTCCACAGGGTGAACCAGGCTTACCTAATAATAATGCAATGGAGCTTTTAGAGTTAGAATCTACTAGCGGGGTAGGAGACCACCATGATAGACACAAAAGAACCCTTAGTAGCTATCAAGCATCATCTGGTACGTTTCATATCATAAAAGGAGAAAAGTATGGTGAAATCAATATTGCTAGAGTAGTAGATAATAAAGACACTGTTGTTGGAGATTTTGCAGATATTGGATACTTTTTTTACGATAATACATTACATATACGCAATCATATTACTGGTACTAGTATAAGAATACCGCAGGAATTCAACTTTTTAAGAGTCGCGGAAGATAGTGAGGGTACATTGAAATTTGCGTTATGCAATAGCCTAGGAAATTTGCTTTCTGAACATAAAAAATATGACCCTGAATACAGACAATTACCAAAATTCGTTGAAGTTAA